AATTTTAAAATCAATTCTGTGGCGCACTGGTAACCAGTGCAGAGAGCGTAAAATTGGAGTGATGTGGTCCCGTTTTCGAGTACCCGTAAGCAGTCTGGCTGTTGCATTTTGAACTAACTGTAATCGGGACAAAGCTGATTGGCTAATCCCAACATATAGAGAATTACAGTAATCCAGCCTGGAGGATATAAAGGCATGGATTACTTTTTCAAAATTTTTGAAGGAGAGAAAAGACTTTACTTTTGCTAGCATTCGCAACTGAAAAAAGCATGATTTCACCACCAAGTTTATCTGCTTATCAAATTTCAGAGACTCATCAAAGACAACACCCAGGTTTTTCACCGATGTCTTCACATAAGAAGACAGCCCACCAAGATTTGCTTTGGGATTATGAAATGAATCTGAAGGACCGAAGACTATAATGTCTGTTTTACTCTCATTAAAATTCAGAAAGTTTAGAGACAGCCAGGACTTTACATCTGACAAGCAAGCCCTGAGAGTGTCCAAACCGTCTGAATTACGTTTTAAGGGCAGATAAACTTGGGTGTCATCAGCATAACAATGGAATGACAGCCCATACTTCCTGAAGATAGAACCAAGTGGGAGCATGTATATTGAAAAAAGAATGGGAGCCAAAATGGATCCCTGAGGAACCCCACATGATAAAGAAGCAGCACTAGAAAAATTATCTCCAATATTAACTGAAAAACTTCGATTTGAAAAATAAGATTTAAACCAATTTAAGGCACTACCCTTAATGCCTGCGCATTGCTCCAGCCGAGCAATAAGGACTTCGTGATCGACCGTATCAAATGCAGCGGTCAAATCAAGGAGCACAAGCACAGCATAGTTGCCAGAATCGCAGGTTACTAAAATATCATTTAAAACTTTCAACAATGCACTCTCAGTAGAGTGATGTTTTTTAAAACCGGATTGAAATATTTCAAAAATCATGTTGTCATCTAGAAAACCCTGCAATTGCTGTAGGACAATTTCCTCTAAAATCTTAGTGATAAATGACAAATTTGAGATAGGTCTAAAGTTGGCTAACACTGTGGGGTCTAAATTCTGTTTTTTAAGCAAGGGGTGGACTGTAGCATGTTTTAATAAGTCAGGAACAATACCGGTTTCTAAGCAGCGATTTATCGTAGTCAAGAGCTGTGGACCAACTATATCATAAACTTGTTTAAGAATATATGGAGGAATTATATCAATAGAAGAGCCAGAAGGCTTAAGCTGATCCACTATTTCTTGAAGATGAGTGCCAGAAATGGGTTTAAAATGACAAAGCAGCACTACAAACGGGGCAAAGAGGGATCGAAGAAGGAAGGAGGAGTTATCCCCATTCTTAGATTACTTATCTTATTAACAAAAAAATTAAGAAAAGCTTCACACACAGATGAAGACATTTCAGGAAACAAACACACAGAGGGGTTTATAGTAGTATTGATAATAGTGAAAAGTGTTTTTGGCCTGTGACAGTTTTTAGTAATGATTTCTAAAAAATATCTAGATTTTGCTGCTTTGACTGCTTTCTGGTATTGCAATAACGAATCACTTAGTATTTCAAAAGAGACCTGGAGTAAGGCATTGTCCTTACTTGAGGAGTAGAGTCTTGGCATCCATTTCAGCATTGGCCTCATCAGGAACGTCAAATTTATTGGTGAGGGTGAGAGAGACTTCTGTTTTACCCATCATTTCCTTATTAGGATCATCAGGGGGAAGTGGGCTCTCACCTGCGAGGGAACGACAGTCGATCACTCTGACTCTGCAGGACCTCAGCGTCCTGAGACTTTAAAGCATATCTCAGAGGCTCACCTATTAAAGACTCAATGGTGGGCACCTCTCCCAGGTCATCTAGCAGCTCATGGATAGGATCACTGTGATCTGGAGCGATGGCATCCTGGTGATCTAGCAAGAGCTAAAAAAGATACCACAATACATTCAGTTCATTCAGTCCAGCTACACTGGATGTTATCTCTACCAAAAAGGTGTGGTCACAAAGGTCACTTTCAAACCAATTAGCTTTCTGTTGGTCAACGTATTGAATTTCTTCGTGAATAACTTGAAACCAAAGCAAAATATCTGTGGGGATTTTTTTGCCCCTAGTCAAAACTCCCTATTGACCTATCGGTAAGCCCCTCCCCTCGAACGCAGATGAGCCAATGGCAGTCGAGTATCAGTTGCACGGGGAGCGGAACTCGGACATCTTTAGGTTTCAGCGCCATAGAGAAACATTGGAAGATCCGAAGCTCGCATCGGTTTAATGGTGTTTATCCTACAAAAATGGAACAACGATGTGCCTAGGGTACTTGTAACACTAATTCCAGGTATCCTGAGAGGATAGGCAATGTATTTTATTTTATTCCATTTCCTAAATCCAACCAAAACAGAGCAAAATGTCCCTAAGCATTCAACCCCAATCACAATGAAGATGAAAACGTTCATTTTCTGGTTGTCATACTCTCATTAAGTTACGATTTTTATCTGCTCAAGCAGAACGTTAATGTCATCTTGTGCTTCAGCAAGGTATCTCTGGCTAAAACTAGCTAACTTTAGCGTTATAGTTCGTGAGTCCAGTCCATGCTAACGTACAAACCTAAATAGCGAACTGTTCTCACATCATGTACCGTGCAGTGAAAGTCAAAAACACATAAACGACGGTCTATATTAGAGTGCCTCTCTATAGTAATCTGGTTAAATGTATATTCATTTAATCTTACTCTACGGTATATGAACGGTGTTGATCCGGGATGTTGTCATTGCGATCGTGACGACCGTAACATAATTCTCCTGTTTGCATTGTGATCTGTATTTTTACATATTTATATTAATATCTTATATATATCCCTCCATGGCATATTTAAGTCCCACTTGAAGGTCCATCTATGTCCCAAATTTATCAGAAACACCTCGGAAGAAGGTTTTCACTGACAGCTGTCATTGTAAGACAGTGAGCAGCTCTGTTTGTTTTTCCAAGTGAGCAACAGTAACTAAGGGGGGCAGGGCTTACGATAGGTCAATTAAGCAGACACCAATTGAAATGACTGAATTTCAAAATTTTGCAGAGCAACAGTAAATGTCTCAGATGGTTACCGTGTGAGTGTTGATGATCTCCCCAATGGAAATGTAGATCACAGGCTTGGTCAAGGTGACCAGGTCAGAGTATTGATCCACATTGAACTTGTCTTCCAAAGATGGGACGTCACAAGCAGACAAAAAGAAACGTCTGGGTGATAGAAAAGTTCTTGCATCAGTATGGAAATAAAGAAACTGCTTGAAATAACAAAACAAACAGAAGAAATCTGATGTCACTTGTACCTAAACTTCTGGTAGGAGTTAGAGAGGTATTCATTGATGGGGTTCAGATGAGCGTTGTCTCCGAGGAACATCTTGTTGGAGGCTGCGTGCTGCAGCATTTTGGCGATTGATCCTAAGTTTCGCCTCTGTTCTGTAGTCAGCTGACCTCCAGCCGAGAGATCAATGATGTCAAAGGCATCAGGAGCCACAATGGCAGGGTTCATGTAGCGGTAGTACAGCAGGTTGCCCACAATCTTAAAAAATAATAAGGATGAGTATATGTCCTCCTTTTTTTAAGCAAACACAACATCTGGGCAATTTTTAAAACCTATTATCTTTTTGCAATTGAAGATCCTCTGCTTCTACAAAGGGGGCAAACAAAATTACTGACAGAGAAGCAGCAAGGCAAGAATAAGAAAGACGTGGCTCACCTGGGTTGGGTGCTCATCAAAAACCTCTTAAAAAAGGGTATAAGCAAGGGCCAAGAGGAGAGCTGGAGCCAGGCCGTAGAGAAAGAGAGAAACAGAGCAGGTGTGGGACAGATAGATAGAGAAAAGAGGAATTTCTTACCAGAAGAAGAGGAAATTGAAACCACATTTATTATTCAAAGTGAGAAGACTGGAGTTTCACAACAGAAGTGAAGCACAAGAGCAGAGAAATGCTCAGGATTCAGCACAATGTTCCACAGTGGGATAGAACTGATATGGAGAAGCAGCGGGTGCCCATTTAGCAGAGAGGCAATCAGAGTGTTCAGAGACATCTGAATAAAGGCTGGCTTGTTTTGGGGACTAAAGCGTACAATTACATCAGCCAAATGCTGCACAGGAATAACACTGCTGTGATTTCTAGCAGCTGTGATGTAACAAACCTTCAAAAGCTCATCCTCTGTGGCATCAGGGAACCTTTCGTTAATTGTGTCCTTCAGTGTCTTGGCAATGAACCGCATACCATATCTACAGGGAAAATGAGTCAAACACACAGAGACTTACACAAATGATTCTTAGTAGGTGTAGTTTGAACGTAAAGTGTAGCGAACATAAGTCTACAAGAGAACAACCAGTCAGCAATACTTATTTCATAATGTGATCCATTCTCAAACACAATAACATGGTAATAGTTCTTGGATTATTTCAAGTCAAACATGAATAAATGTTATTGTAAGTTAGCATTCAGTAAATTCATAATTGTATCATAATTCATAATTGGTAATTAATTGTGCTCCGGCGGATTCAGTGAATTATTTATTTGAATGATATAGGAGGAGTTTATGAGTAATTAAAGCATTTATTCATAAAGAGTCAATCATTGTATGTTATTTTTAGTCCAATCTGTGAAGAAAAGCTAATATAAAAGTAATGTTATTTTATGCGGTATTCCGCCCTTTTAGGTTTAGCTTAGTAAAATGAAAGCAGCAGCACAGCGCCACTCTTTAACAGCGGTGTAATACTGACTTGTACACAAGCATGAACAAAGAAACGGCTCATGTAACAGACATGTATTTGAATATTCAAATCTGGGCTTGCTAAAAGTCATTTTCATATATTCAAGAACAATTTATGGTAGGTGCAGCTAAAAATAGATGTAAGACATGGAATTTTTTGATCCCTGAGGGAAATTCAGGTGGCGGGATTCAATCAACTCACGGGATTTTATCCACAGAAACAATTATGGCCGAGAGGAATTTGTCTGTGACCGTCCTCATGTTCTTGATGGAGGCTTCCAGCCGGGTTCGAACCTCCTCGTGACTCATTGCCTGTTCTGGAGTCACATCATATGGCAATTTACTGCAAAACAGAATTACACGGTCATTGCAACATTAGGTAGCAGGTCATCTAGCATTACATTTAATTTTTGCATCTGGATTTAATTAAATGAACTTCGGTCTTTACTTTTAGTCTTTTACATGTCTTAAAAATCCATTAAACATTTATATTTCTTATTATTATTATAAGTAGGGGTCTCAGCAGATTTCCAAGGAGGCCACAGAATGACTTCAAATTATTTAAATGGACAAATTATTATTAATATATTAAAATAAATCAAGCTCTCATCTAAATTAAAATGCTAAAAACACATAGAATTAAGACTAAAATCATTTTCACACAATAAATACTGTTTTTATTGAAGAACATACAGTTCTGGAATATAGAAGTTAGAATATAATGTGTGGGATGACAAAATAAATCATAGTTAAATAATTCAATACATTAAACGAATTAACCACATTAATTTGATACATCAATAAACGTTTGAAAACAAGCAGCTTTGTCATAATTACAAAAGAAATTACTGAAAATATCTTGGCATATATGGAGGGGAGAATATTGTGCTGGACAGCGTGGGCCCTTCATATTAAAACGTTGAAAACACACCTGGCCTCTCCAGTTTGACTCTCCATCTGGTTCACCCAGCTCTTGTATATGTCAACTGGGTCAGTTTTAATGTTGAGCGTCTTGTCATCCATGATTTCCTTCACAACCGGAGCCAGGATCTGCCGGAGTGCGTTCTGACCTCTGGCTCCTCTGTTAAAGCTCACGACCATCTTAATGACTGTTGGGTTTCCGGTCACGATCTCCTGGATGTGGTCCACTTTTGATCTTTTGAAGACAAATATCACTGAGAGATCGTAAAAGATGCAAATGTGTCTTGATAAATAGTTAAAGAGTACAGTGCCTTGCGAAAGTATTCAAACCCCTTTGTTTTTTTTGTTTTTCAAGGTTTGTTATGTTGCAGCCTTATTAAACTGCTTTAAATTATTTTTTTCCCCACATCAATTTACACTCCATACACCATAATGACAAATCAAAAACAGAACTGTCGCAACTTTATACATTTCTAAAAAATAAAAGAACTGAAATAAGTACATTGCATAAGTATTCAACCCCTTAACTCAGTACTTAGCTGAAGCAGCCTCAAGTATTTTTGGGGTATGATGCGACAAGCTTTGCACATCTGCATTTGGCAATTATCTGCCATTCTTCTCACCTGTTCACTTCTCAAGCTCTGTCAGGTTGGATGGGGGCAGACGCACATTTTCAGGTTTCTCCAGAAATATCCTTTTTTTTTTGCAAATCCCAAGTGTGCTTTCATGTGTCTTAACTGAGGAGAGGATTGAGTCTGGCCACACAGCCATAAAGCACAGATTGGTGGAGTGTTGCAGTGATGTTCGTCCTTCTGTTGGTTTCTCCTATCTCCACATATGATCATGGAGCTCAACTAGAGTGACCATCAGCTTCTTGGTCACCACTCTAACCAAAGCCCTTCTCCATCAATTGTTCAGTTTGGCCACAGGTTAACTTCACACTCAAAGTGTGGTAACATTTACAAGCAAAATGAATGCTCCTGAGCTAAATTTCAACTGTCCAAGATACTTATGCAATGGAATAATTTAAGTTTTTTTATCTTTAACAAATTTGCAAAGATGTTAAAAACCTGTTATTTGCTTTGTCATTATGGTGTATGGAGTGTAGATTGATGTGGAAAAAAAAGTAATTTAAAGCAGTTTAACATAAGGCTGCAACATAAAACGTGAAAAAATGAAGGGGTTTGAATACTTTCGCAAGGTATATAAAACATGGAATATCATGCAGTTCCTACTTGATTTCCTCCTGCAGGGCCGTTTTGAAGAGATTGAGCAAGAGGTACTCCTCACGCTGATTGGAAGCGTAGTTGTACAATGTGAAAATGACAGAATCCATGAACTTGGTGGACTTGTTCTGTGGCATCTGAAAGATCAGCTTGGCCAGATAGGTTGGATTTGTCTGAGGAAAACAGAGAGGGAAATCAACAGGACTGCAGTAACGTTGATTTTCAAACAATTCTTGGATTAGAGTTGATGAGGTTTACCTGTAACAGGTAAAAGAGGAACTGATATGCCTCTAGCTTCTCCCTCTTCTCTTTACTAAGAGCCTTCAGGCCTCCTTTCTGCTTGTTCATCATCATGAGGTTGGACATCAGATTAAGGTCGTTCTCCAGCTGCTGGTTGGAGCGGATGTTGGTGATCACCTCTTCTCTAAGCCGCATCAGTTCCAGCTCTTCCTGGAAGTCCTGGTCGCTGTGATCCAGCAGGTGGACAAACTTGCGAACGACTGCCATCGGAGGATCATCTGCGTTGACTGTTAAAGACAGGATTTAGAGTTTTATGGTGTTCAGTGCTAGTGTACTCCTATACTAGTTGGAGGAATCAACTTGAAGGTATACACTTTTCAAATTTTCAGTCTTTTTCTTCTGGGAAAACTGAACAAAAACATTGATGACTCATCCTGCACTTTTGTCCAAATAAATGTTCTATGAAGTGTTCCTCCCCTTAAAGGTATAGGCAGTGTTGGGTAAGTTACTCTAAAAAAGTAATTAATTACTAGTTACTAATTACATCTTCGACAGTGTAATTAGATTACTGTACAAATTACTCTCTTCAAAAAGTATTTAATTACTTATTACTAATTACTTTCTAAATCCTATTTCAACCTCGACAAGTAAATGATATAAGGATAGACATGAAACGGTTCTTTTAAGTCTTTCAAATAAATAATAGATAACTACATAAATTATTCTGGTCACACTTTAGATTAGAGTCCAATTCTCACTATTAACTATCTATTAACTATGACTTTTGCCTCAATATACTTCTAATTACTGCTTATTAATACTTAGTAAAGTAGTTGTTAAGTTTAAGAATTGGGTAGCATTTAGAATAAGGTCTTGCAGAACAAGCCATTAATGTGTGGTTTTTTTTTTAAGTAATAATAAATAGCCAATATCCCAGTAATATTCATGCTAATAACCAACTAGTTAATAGTGAGAATTGGACACTAAAGTGTTACCAAAATTCTTATTAACGCAAAGTATTTAAAGTGAGAAGGGTACATAAAAAGCATGCATTTTAAAGCAGCACTATGTAACTTTTTGTGTTCAAAATTTGCAAAATGTATATAATGAGCGAGTACATCATGAATTCATCTTCCAAACCGCGTTTTTGTCTTATTCCGAATCACTATTACCCCCAACACTGGGTATAGGTCACCCAAAAACAATTCTGTCATCATTTACTATTTTATTTAAAAAGATATTTTGAAGAATGTTGGTAACCAAACAGTTAACTTTCATTGTATGACATGAGGGGGAGTAAATTAAGGCAGAATTTTCATTTTTGAGTGACCAGCAAGTAGCAAAAAAATTTTTTTTGGTTGTGACAAAAAAAAGCCTTAATGAAATGTAAACACAGAAAACCACTACAGTGATCTTCAAGTTTCAATAGTAATCAGAAACAACAATTTAATGGCTTCAAAAGACAAAACAAATTATGTGTATGGATATTTGAGGCGTGTTCTCAGTGAGAGGATGTGAAACAGAATTTGACGGAAGTACATGAAATGCTTACTGAGTGTTTTGTAGTCATCTCTTGCTTTGTTGGCTCGAATGAAAGCCTGAATTTTCACCACATCATTTATCTGCGATGAGAAAATTGAATGGAGAACATTAAAGACTGACCACTGTGCAGTTAGAAATCAGATTACATTAACTACAAAACCATAAAAGTCCTTGGGTTTTGACTAAAAACTCACATGGTCTTTGAAGTACTGCAGACGATCTCTGTATTTTTTGCGAGCTTGATGCATCCTGACCATTGACTGAATCTACCGAAAAAAACATCATATTTATCCAAATACAGATTTTACCATATTAAAAAAAAAAAATTTAACTGAAATAAAGGGGCAAAACCCAATAATTAGGGGGTGACCAGTCATTTTCTGCCATGTAGTATATAACACAGTCCTGACATTTATAGCACAATCCTGACAATTTATTATGCAAGAAGTGACTCTTTTATTCCATCAGAATTTGTCATGCTGCTGCTCACCTTGACAGCATCATCACCGTGATCCTTCAGGTAATGCTTCCTGTCATTGTACTTCTTTCTGTCCTTATAGCCTCTCCAGTGGGCCTATAATTCAAACAGAACCAGAAGGTCATGATTGGCTTGGCCCCAGACCCACTGATGTTATTTCTTGTCATTATTTACATTAATGCCTTCCAGTCTACAGGGCTTAAAAGCAAAAAAAAAATCCTGAGCCTGAACTTTTTTCCGGGGGTTGGGGGGCGGACACATACACAGGGTTATTTGGGGAAAAAAAAAAAAAGATTTTCCTTGAAACTAACTAGTAATGTATCTGCCATTGCCATTAGCCCTTGACAGGCTCAGACTACAGATTATGGTGGGATATTTGAAACAGCAATAGACAATGTTTTAATACTTTAAGAAATTTTCAAATGACAAAATATTTGTCTTTTAATGACAAAAAGTAAAACAATGCAGTTGTATTTTGAAATGTTTGAACTAATCTAGTGCTTAACTAATGATTATTTTGCTAATCAAGTAATCTACTGATTATTTTGACAAGTGAGTAATCTGATATTTATTAGTAATACAAATAGAACTAAGTGGAAAAACAGGCTTTAATATGACTATATTTATATAAAAAGTAACGATGAGGCAATAATAATTGGCCTCAAATAAAGTATCAAAACCAAGTACATGGTTTTATTGAACAACACTGTTAAATACATAATGTAATATGCCTATATTATAACAAATACCTGCAGAGGGCGCCAACGGCCTGGTGATGTTTCATGTGATTCAACGACGTTTAAATCCATTTAATTTTAATATTTGGCCACATGCAAAGTCAGAAACTTTTATTTTGAAATCGCGATGTACAATAAATCGCATATTTAGAAATATGTTGATGTATTCTCCTGTGTTGGCATAGGTTTAAATGATTTACGTTACAAATCAAGTGATACATACCAGATGAACATTAAGCAACCCAAACTCACCGCATACGCAGAGGAAGAGTTTAGCCCCTTTCACACATACAGTCTTTACTGGTAAATTACCGTTAAGAGATCATGTTTGAATAGGACCTTTTCAAAAATACAGGTAGGCCTAAATGCATTCTGGCAATCATATCCTTCTTATGGAGATGACGTGATTACTCTGAGCTGTTTACAAAGCTCCGCTGCTTGTCTAATAGCTTTTCTATGTAAATATGACGCTAGATGAAAATCTTTGACCATTGCGCCTCACAGCTTTTTCAATGTGTCGCGCTCGAGACCCAGGCTTCTTTTCCATTCATCAGCTGCGACTCTGCAGTTGGATACTATTATGCACGTCTCATGATTATAGGACCAAAAATGTCTGATTGGCTAGTAATGTTAGTTTGTTTGAGAGTGAAAGCTGTG